CTGTCTAGGTTCGATTGCAGCCTATTCCTCCCTTGTAGCGTGCCCACACCCCCTACATACCCCCTCATCCAAGTCACTGATGAAGATGTTGAACAGTGCGGGCCCGAGGACCGAGCCCTGGGGGACCCCACTGCCCACATCCCTCCAGGTTGAATAAGACCCATCCACCACCACTCTCTGGCCCTCCAGCTAGTTAGTGACCCATTTGACTGTGTAGGTGTTGACCTACACATACCTTTTCATGCTGCAATGCACTACAGAGCTGGCAAGTCACGGCAGACTCAATTAACTGAGTGTTCTCCACACATGAGCTGGCACACACTGCACTGCGTTGCTTGTGGTTGTACAAGTGGTGAAATGCATGTCAGCACAGAGAAAAGAGTGGTAGTGTGCTTTTGAACTAAAACACTTTCAGTGTCTTCTAGTTCAAAAGCAGACCGCCATCATTTTCTGCATGCTGGTGCACATTTCGCCATTTATACAACTGCATGCACTGCAGCGCCGGGCACTTTTCAAAGCACCTGGCGCTGCAGCACATGTGTGTGTAAAAATGCCCTAGATGTTTCTGCACTGCATGATTTCCCCCCTGCACATTTCAGAGAAAAGGATGAACAACAGAGACTGTTAGACCCCAAGCACCCAGCATGGTGTCACTCAGCTGCACACTCAGCTCAGCACTGCAGAGCTAATCAGAGGCAATGTAATGACAGGAACACAGGGCACAGCCGAACAAGGCATGCGGGACTAAATGATATCATGACTCTATTTATACCCCCATCCTATTCTCCTTCTCGGTCCACTGGGTTTAGAACTTGCCATATCCATTATTTTATCCACTTATCTATATATCTTGCATATCTATCATTTTAACCCATTGCAAATGCTCAGGAGGTAGCAGCTCTCTGAAAGGCACCAGCAGTCCTCTGGGAGTAGAACAAGATAGACAGGCACTGGCCCCATGCTGTTGCTACTACTTATCTGCATCTTTGGGTGGGCAGGTGAAAATCTCTGAGTCTGGAAGCACAAGGGCACAAATGTGCTGCTCCGCCCCACTCTGATTTCCAAGAAAAGTCACTAATGCTGAGCACACAGTGCTTTTCCTGGATCAAGACTGACTGCAGGGAAAAAAGCTGCACCTTCAAATGCATTCACGGGTCTGAATCCATTTGTGAGCTTGAGACGGGAGGATGGAGCTTCCTTACTGGTACAGCTCCTAATCTGCTGAGGGAGCCTTAATGCACTGAGTAGAGAGGTTACTAAATAATGCAGGATGCTACTGTGAAGGAATGCAAATATCCTCAGGAAAAGCAGTGCTATGGGTATTTCTTGATGGGGAAAGTATCTTCTCCTAAAACTGGGGGAAGGGTTAGCAAAAAACTTGGATCCAAAGCTTACAGCACCCAGAGTTATGGGGGTACCTTGTAGCAGGCAATTCACAGCTTGTGGTGAATCAGACTGTAATCTTAGTTATACCGTGTAAATATGGGCAAGTCCCCTGTGGCTAAGGGAGCTCTACAAAATCATAGAATCAGACAACAAGGGTTGGGAGGGACCTCAGGAGGTCACATCTAGTCCAACCCCCTGCTCCAAGCAGGACTAGCCCCAACTACATCATCCCAGGCAAGGCTTTGTCCAGCCAGTTTTTGAAAACTCCCAAGGATGGAGTTTCCACCATCTCTCTGGGCAAACTGTTCCAGGGCTTTACTACCTTCCTAGTGAGAAAATTCCTCCAATTATCTAACCTCCACTTCCCTTGCTGCAGCTTGAGCCCATTGCTCCTTGTTCTGTCATCTGCCCTCACTGAGAACAGTCCAGCTCCCTCCTCTTTGCAGCCCCCCTGCAGGGAGCTGAAGGCTGCTATTCAATCCCCCCATACTCTTCTCTTCCCTAGACTAAATAAACCTAGTTCCCTCAGTTTTTCCTCACAAGTTATGTCCCCCAGCCCCCAAACCATTTTCATTCCCCTTCACTGGACTCTCTCCAACTTGTCCACAACCTTTCTGTAGTCAGGGGCTCAAAACTGGACACGACTCCAGATGCAGCCTCCCCAGTGCTGAATAGAGGGGAAGAATCACTGCCCTGGACCTACTGGCGACACAGCTACCACTGCAGCCCAGGATGCCGTTAGCCTTCTTGGCAACGAGGGCACACTGCTGGCTCCTATTCAACTTATTGTCCCCTGTCCCCCCAGGTCCTTTTTTGCAGAGCTGCTGCCCAGCCAGTCACCCCCCAGCCTGTCCTGGTGCATGGGATTGTTCTGTCCTAAATGCAAGACTTTGCACTTGTCCTTGTTGAACCTCATAAGATTTCCTTTGGCCCAATCCTCCAATTCGTTGAGGTGACTCTGAATCCTAGCCCTACCCTCCAGTGTATCTACTACTCCCCCCCAGCTTGCTGTCATCTGCAAACTTGCTGAGGGTGCACTCTGTGCCATCTTCCATGTCACTGATGAAGACATTGAACAAAAACTGGCTGGATACAGGCTGGATTTGGAGACATCACCTATGCATAACACACCCAGCCAGCCTTCCTGTTAACTGTGTAGGCAGCAGCCTCCACGCAAACTCAAGTACTATTTTTATCACAGCATTTTGACTGAAACAGCAATATCAGAACAGAACATTTGCGGCATTCAGCCTTACTTTATTCTCTGTAGCCAGGACCACCAAACAGCAAGCTTCGACAGGTACCACTCCACTCTCCGACAGCGACCCAGACGTGAGGGCTTTGGAGCTTTCAGCACAGAGACTCTGACTCGGAGAAATCCCAGGGTCCTGAGCTGAGGAACAGAGAAGCCATTAATGAACAAGAAAGGGGAACAGAGCGTTTGGATGCAATTGCTCCCTGCTGTACTGGTGCTACCAGATTTGTACTGTTGCATAAAGAGATGCAGTACAAGGCCTTGTGTCTCTAATCCATGCATACAAGCCAATCTCAGTATGTTCTGGTGCCTTCTGAATGACACACAGCAGCCCTGACAGCCTACAACCAAAAAGCCAGGTCAGTGCTATTTAAAGCGCCCAGCTAATGTTGCACCAAGCTACCAGCACAGAGCAGCCAGCACTGTGGCATAAGACAGCCCTGTATTCTAGTAACTCTGAGTTTGGTCTGGCTGCCGGGTTAAGAGCTTTTGTGCATCAGAAGCAGGGATTCTTATGTGAGCGAATATGAACAACCCCCCCCTTTAGACAGAGAGGACTGAGGGGTGGGCACTGCACAGCGAGGTACTTCTTGGCCTCATGTCGCACACAACTCAGCCCTAGCTGTGTTCTTGCCTTCTCTCCAGCTCAGACTAACAGAAATGTTCAGGCAGGACCTCAGCCCATAGACTACACAGTGCCATGCACACCTATGTAGGGAGTCGGAAGAAAAGGAACACCTTGAGAGGCTGGACACCTTCAAGTCAGTGGGTGCTGACAGATTGCACCCCAGAATACTTAAGGAACTGGCAGGAGTCATAGCCTAACCACTGGCCAAGGTTTTCGAAAACTCATGGCGCTCAGGTGAAGTACCTGAAGACTGGAAGAGGGCCAATGTGGTGCCTATCTTCAAGAAAGGGAGGAAAGTAGATCCAGGGAACTACAGGCCAATCAGCTTGACCTCGACCCCGGTAAGATTCTGGAAAAAAGAGTCCATTCTTGACAAGCTGGCTAATGGCAACATCCTGAGGGACAGCCAGCATGGGTTTGTCGTGGGTAGGTTTTGCCTGACCAACCTCATCTCATTCTACGACCAGGTGACATATCACCTGGACAAGGGAGAAAAGATTGACATCATATATCTGGACTTCAAAAAAGCCTTTCATCTGGTGTCCCACAGTCTCCTCTTGGAAAAACTGGCCAACTGTGGTCTTGGCTACACCACAATCCAATGGCTGAGGCCAGACTCAGAGAGTGGTTGTCGATGGAACCAAATCGTCATGACAATCTGTGACCAGTGGTGTCCTCCAAGGCTCCGTCCTTGGACCAGTTCTCTTCAACATCTTTATCAAAGATGTGGACATTGGTGTCAGAAGTGGACTGACCAAGTTTGCTGACAACACCAAACTTTGGGGTAAAGCGTCCACACCAGAGAATAGGCTGAAAAAGTGAGTGGATACAAACCTGATGATTTTCAATACCGACAAATGTAAGGTACTCCACCTCAGGGGAAAAAAAGCCACAGCACCCTTATAGGCTCGGCAGTGCTACACTCGTTAGCACCAAGGCCAAAAGGGACTTGGGGGTCATGACTGACCACAAGATGAACATGAACCACCAATGCAATGTTGCAGCTGGTAAAGCAAACCAAACTGGCTTGTATCCATAGATGCTTCTCAAGTAATTCTCGGGATGTCATCCTCCTGCTGTACTCAGCCTTGGTGAGGCTGCAGCTAGAGTACTGCATCCAATTCTGGGCTCCACTATTCAGGAAGGATGTGGAGAAGCTTGAGAGAGTCCAGGGGAGAGCCACATGCATGATCAGAGGGCAGGAGAATAGGCCTTATGAAGAGAGGCTGAGAGCCATGGGACTCTTCATCCTAGAAAAGTGCAGGCTCAGGGGAGACCTGGTGGCAGCCTATAAGTACATCAGGGGTGTGCATCAGGATGTGGGGGAACGTCTGTTCACCAGAGCGCCCCAAGGGATGACAAAGACCAACGATCACAAACTCCTTCAAGACCATTTTAGGCTGGACATCAGGAAAAACTTTACTATCTGAGCCCCCAAGGCCTGGAATGGACTCTCTCCAGAGGTGGTGCAAGCACCTACTCTGGACTCCTTTAAGACGCTTTTGGACGTTTATCTTGCTGGAATCCTTTGATCTCAGCTGACTTCCTGCCCCTGGGGCAAGGGGCTGGACTCGATGATATCCCGAGGTCCCTTCCAGCCCTAATGTCTATGAAATCTATGAAACACTGGTTCTGTGTGCAGGAACAGCCAGCACAGCAGCATGGAGACTGCAGCACAGGAAAGTTCCCTGCTCATCCCTCCAGCTTAAAGGAGAGTATATGGTCTCCCTCCACCGTCAGGGATCAATGCCTCATGCACACAAAGTGCAGGGGACATGCTGGTGCCTTCACACACCAGTGCTGCTGGAGCTACATGCCCCGTTGGTTCTCTTGGGCGACTGGGTGCCTACAAAGGCAGGGGACTGGACGCCATGGCTGGGGGTCCCTTCCAGTCTTATGTCCCTTGATATGAAAACAGAGTTGATGGCCAAGTAACTACTCAAGCTAACGCTGATGGACAGCCTTAGCTGGGGAACTGCTCAAACAGCAAGTGGAAACAAGGCAGCTAGATCATCTCTTCAGCTCAGCTCACATCCTGCAGACCCAGAGACTGAACTTTGCAGGGAGCACATGCAGTAGTGGCGCACAGCCTTTTTGGGTCTGATCCACTGGTTTCAGAGCCCATCTGATCCTGGCACGTGAAAACCAACTTGTCTGATGGTCTTACTATGGAGTGTGCCAGGAAAGCACAATGCTGTGGAAATTCAATGGCTGCTTTCTGAGCGCTGAACACCTGCCCGGCTCATGTATCTGACTAGCCCTTCTCTGCAGGGACCTTCCTCGTGCTGTTTTCAGGCTACAAAACCTTTTCTGTCCCTGTCTCTCAAACTCTGCTGCAAGAAAACTGGCAGGCCTTTGGCATGACTCTGGCTGTCCAAACTACAAGGTGTTTCCAGGTGATTGCAGGCATTGGATACAAAATGCACAATACCTGTTACCCCAGGGCTGGAACTGGGCTGTAACCCAACTGCTCCAGATGAAGAGCTAAGGCCACAACTAGCCTTCACCAGACCTGCACTTAAGCCTGATTCTCAGGATCAAAGGAAAACAGAAACCAACCATCTCCCTAGCCTGATACTGGAGGCTATTGGTTGGCAAGGCCTGAGGACTGAGCAACCTGGGTTTTCTGAATGTCCTCTCTCAGGGCTGGCGATCTGTCAGCTTTCCAACCCTCCTTACGGTTTTATTTGCTGAGGCTGGGCAATGCCGTTCCATGCCTCCAGTGCAGACGGTATGAAAGGAGGCACTGAATGGACCGAGTGACAAATGGGGTTTTGATCGCTGGCTAATTCACCACCTTGCATGTTGTACTGCTGAGCTGTGCCCTTGTATGTTCCACAAAGACTCAGCTGGAGGCAGCCAAGACGGCTGGGATCTGGCCTGCTCTGCTACACAGAAAGCCCCAGGCTGACTGCATGTCCCATGTCAGACGCAGACAGGCTCAATTACCCCCGTGTCATACAAGAACGAAGGACTTGCTCCTTGTTCTCCCAGGCCCATCTGTCATGGCTCGCGCCGAGGTACCAGACAGGAGCATAAGGAAGGCTCGGGGACTCAGCCAGCCTGCGGGGACTGCAAACATGCCAGGGAAGGGAGCACGGCTCCACCAGCCAGGAGAAGCAGCTCCACAAGAGGGAGCTCTCCATCGTGAGCACCGAGCTCGGGTCCAGGACACAGCCTCGCACTACGGTAAAAAACAGACAAGGCTTGAGGCTGTAATTCCAGCAAACATTTCTGACGACTCCAGCTAATTGCCAGCTTCACTTTGTGGTTCAGATGCTCATGATCCATTGACAGAATCACAGCTCTGGAGTCCAGACCTTCATTTATTCTACATAATTTTCCCCCCCACCCCGTCTCAAAGGCTTTAAAAATCGAACAAGTCACTGCCATTATATTTACTGAGGAAAAGAGATGCGTCCCCCTACAGTCACTGGTGAAATGCCCAATTAAATACAGAATGGATGGCGAGGTTCCTGAGTGTTTTCCAAATTTGACAACAGTCAGAAAGAAGGCACAACACATGCACACACATCTGCCCTGCTCCAACGTGCTGCCTGAAGTCTGGGAGGCAGGTACCTCCATTAGGATTGCAATACATTGTCCATTTCATTCAGAAATCAGCTGGATGCAACATGTGCTTTGGGCTTTTGACAGCACTTACCTGGCATTTTGAGTGCGAAAGCTGCAGTGAGTTCAGACAGGCACAGCAGTAAGCTGTTCAGACAGGCTGAAATCTTCCCCGTAAAAAAACAAATTCTATCACAACTCAGCTGTAGGTCTAACCTGATCAAACACCTCGTTTACGTATGTTGGGAAAATGAAGGACTCCTCCCCCTCCAGCAAGTCAATTTAAGAGAAGAGTATTAGTAAAACGATTGCATCTTGGTAATTAAAGCATCTTACAGAGAAAATCCAAAGCATGCTATGAACTACTCTGCATGACACTGACATTAAAAGGGTGTAACGCCCACCACCAGACATTAGCGGACCTCAGTTTAAAAGGCAATCCATGTTCCTCTCTGGAGACCACCTGAGTGGGGTCGTCTCTGCCAACTCCGCAGTCCCTGCGCTAGTCACAGCCTACCTGTTTTCAGCACCACCAGGTGAGAGGAATCATCCCGGATGTATGACACCGATGCGATATCATGGATGGGGACCCTGAGTATGATGTCTTCTCCATCCCTCCACACCAGCTTGATGTTGTAGGCAGACAGACTAATCACCGCGTCGTGCTCCTGGGTCAGCTGCCCTGGGAGCTGATGTGCTCTCTATGACAAAGGAGTTTTCATTAACAAGTCGAAGGCTCCTTTCCCCTGTCATTAGCCCCTGGTCAAGGCAGCATTGGGAAGAAGGGAACACCCACCTCCACTTCTCTGCTCCTTTCATGTGCCACTGACCTTAACTGAATCTACTAAAACATGCACAGTAAGCATCTAAAAATGAAACCCACTAGACACATATCACACATTTCAAGCAGCCTCTCAAACTCTGCTTAAGATTCCCCCTCACCCCTATAACCTGAGTCATTTATCCTTGTACTGTCAACCTTTGATCTCTCTGCCCTGCAGCCTCCATGCCTGGAGTACTACATGCATATATAAAACAAGAACAATAGGGACAGAGGAGCTAGCAGAGTACACTCAACAAAAGTTCAGGCTGGAGTGTATAAATTGCCTGGTACTCACCTTGGCATTATCTATTAAATGAAGGATTTCAGTACGACTGGAGGGATTCAGGTATCCAGGGACACATGTTAATTGGCCTAAATACTGGGAAGGGAAAAAAAAATCCATTACCAAGTGATGCACGCACTCCACAGTGAAATCTCTCCACAGTCATGGAAAATGGTGAATTTAAAGATAAATACCAACTCGGAAGTCATAACTTAAGCTCAGTTTAAAAGTAATCCAGGCCAGCTGTTGCCTTGATGCTACATTTAGAAACCTTTGGAGAACTACTTGAGACAGAAGACTTCCGATGAGGCCAGGCAGGACTTTCACTATTACTACAAGCTGGTCTCCAAGAGCTGAAATTCAATCTGGTGGCCAAAAAGCAATCATCCAAGTCTCAAGGTGTAGAGCCAGCAGAGCCTTACAAACAGCTGTCATTCTCCCAAAGCAGCCGTTAAAGCAACCAGCAAGCAGGATGTCCTTCCAGCTGGCCTGTGTGTGGCAGGACTATGCTACATTATTTCACAGCTCTCAGCTGGGATGTACTCCAAAGCACTTTCCATGAGTTAAATACACTTAGGAAATTAGCTAAGGACCAGGAAGCAAAACATAAATATCCTTTCAACTAAGTTCTAGAAGTAGACAAGGCCAGTGGCTCTTCTAGATAGCAGAAGCTATAGAGAAAAGGGGCTCTTGTCTTAAGTTTGGCATGGCCAGGGGTTATACACAACACTGAGCATTGCATGGGCCTCCATTCCATGGCAAAGGGATAGACATTTGCCAGGGCCCACAGGCCACGTTAACTGCTCATGGCCTATGTGAGGGCCAGGGGTCACAGCAGGCTGTCCCCTTGCGAGTCACATGGCTGCCTTGCCTTAAATGAACAGTGATGTGGTTTGCAAAGGAGCACGCAAATGCGCACACACTTGCTCCATTCAATCAGTGAGGGGAAGGCCTCTGAAATTTTGAACTGGGTCCTCAGATGAATGAATGAGGAAGCCACTGGAGCAGCCTAAAGATGGAAATGATGTGGCTGTGCTTTATCCTTTGCTCTCTGTGTCGGCAAGACCCACTGAGGAAAATCCTGAGAATGTCTTGATGGCAGAGCCCTTTTGGGAAAGGAAAATGCATGGAAAGCTGAACTGAGGGCACAATTTCAGACATGGGTGAACACCAAAGGCCTCTTGTACTGTGCACTGCAGCAAAGCAATCCTCCCCGTCACACTCGCGCATCAGACAGGAGGATGAAGTTGAGAGAAGGATGAAAGAGATCCTGTCCCTCGCCTCCCAAAAGTTACCTTAACTTCCTTTTCGATGTAGTCATTCAGCAGTATGTCTGGTTCAACTCGATCGGGCAAGGACAGCAAGACGGTGTGAAGCGGGCGTCTCTCAGTAACCTTCTCCTGGGCCTTTTTATCCCGTCCCTTCTCGCCTTTCAAAAAGACTCGTTTGAAAGGGGACACAATTCCAGGCTGCTGGCAGAAACAGAAATGGGTTAGGGCTAGGCTTTGCATGATCTGCAATCTGCACACACATGAAGCCTTCTTGATAGACCTGTCGCAGGGAATGAGAGGCTGGCTATCAGACTCCAAGCGCGGTGGAAGTGGGAACTGGGCGCTCTCTGTTCCAGCGTGCCAAGCAGAGATGAGGTGTGCTGCCTCTCCCCTGAAAGGCCTCATTATTCACCTGTTCCCACAGCCTTTCTGAAATGAATGGCTGATTCTCCTTCAGGTGCGCAATAATGTTAGGGCGAAAAAGGAAGGACACAAAATCAGCTTTCAGTCCCTGTCTTTTGGGAGACTGAGAACGCTGCAGTGGCTCTAAGCATTTGGGATTGAGAGCGCTGCGTTACAAACAACTCAGAGGGCTGCACAAAGCCTGCCATGCTCCCCCCACCCCATCCAACCACAGACACTTCTCCTGGGTTTGGATAAATTTCCTGCAGACTCCACTTCTAAAAAAGGATGCTTTCACTTCTGTCCTAGAAGAGGCACCTCTGCTCTCATACACATCCTCTATCCTTTTCTGCCTATTGCCTTCGCAAGGGTCAACTGCCAGATCATGGCTGCGAAGCAGCACCGTTTTGTTTCAACGTCCATTTTGCCATTTCAAAGGGCCAGTGTTTCGTTTCATCATTTCAAAGCACAATCCCGTTTCGTTTTGTTGAAACTGTTTCACTGTTTCGACGTTTCGCCCATAGGCTGTAACGGGGAATCATGAAAATGCCTAAAAATTTGTCATTTCTTGCCTGACTTGGACGAAAATTGCAGGGATGGTAGCCCCTTCTGAGGGCATGAAGCCTGCCACGTTTCAAGCAGACAGGTGAAGAAGTTCCTGGGAAACTGCACCTCAAACTGTTCAAAGCACAATTCCTGACACTTGCTGGCAGAGGCAGCCTCCTCTCATCCAGTGTGTAGATCTGGGGGCCCACACCCCTGGGAGGGCTGCGGGGCTGTGCCGGACTCCTCCCAGGGGTGCAGTCCCCTGGATCTGCATGCTGGATGACAGGAGGCTGCCACTGCCACCTGGGACTGAAGCCAGTAAGCCTGGCTTTGAAACTCGAAACATTTTGAAACTTTCGAAACATTTCAAGTGCCCTCATTTTGTTTCAAAGCTGTTTCAAAGCCTTTTGTTTCGTTTCAATTTCACTGTTTTGAGCTCAAAACACGTTGAAACAGCTTCAAAACGAAATGTCCGGTGAAATTTTGCACAGCCCTAATGGCTGGATGTTCACACAGCTGCTACGGTCCTCTTTTAGGGGGGTGTGCCCCAACAGCAAGATGGGTACAACAGGTGAAAATAACCCATAGTACATTACAGCTAGGGAGGAAATGCAGGACTTGAGTCTGAATGTGGGGTGATATTCTTTCCAGGAATGCATGACAGCAGCGTTAAATGTTAGTGTTTATCAAGACAACTGAGTACTTCCCTTTCAAGAGATAATTTACCACACTGCACTTCCAAGCATATAAATACTATGTTAAATTGGATGGCTCTGGAAGTAGTTATGCCACCGACAATGGCAGCCGTATGCAATTTTATGATCCATCCAAACATAAGTAGTAGGGATTTTGTCCTAAAGCAATCAGAGCTCTGACATTATGGGACATTTCTCTCCTCCTAATGGCTTCCTCGTGACTTCGAAGGTTTTCAAAATCCAAAAATAAAAGTATTGCTAGGTCAAGCCGGAGCCTGGGAAAAAACAACCGAAGCAGAATTGTTCTTGTCATTTTAAAAATCACTCGTGATAATAGAGGCTCTGTGATCAGAACGTAGCTCAATTATACTGCAGACTTGTGCAAGGCAGAACAGAATCCAGCTTGTTCTGCCGGGCTGTACTCACATGGCAGCGCTAGGGACTTGTTTGTGTGAATAAACCAAATAGATCTGACTCACAAAGGCAGAGAGAGCTATTCTACAAGACAGCCTGGCCAACGAGGGTGACACTAACTGGCTGCCATCTGTTAGCAACAAATTTCTATGATCATGTCCCGTTTTATTCCTTTTCATGTTCTCCAATAAGCTGCTTCTGTTCGAACAGGAACGTGCTGGGCAAAAAGAATCGCAAGAATCGTATGAGGGCGTTCACGGTAAACCCGAGGTGCCCTGCAGGAAAAGCTGCTGCAGTAAGAAAGGAGGTAAATTTTCAAAGTTCATTAGCAGCCCCAGATAACAGCTTGTTTGGCTCTCAAGCTGATGCAGACAAAGCCTCAGGTCTAGCAGGAAGGCGAAGAGAAGCAGCAGCCTTTCCAGAGTAAACACTGCCTCGAAGTAAAAAGAAGCCATCAGCTAGAGTCCTTTGTGATCAGACTGGCTTACCAGGTGGCAAAGCTGTCCCGATCCTCACTGTGTACCCAGCCAGCCACTGCCTAGGGAAATACCCGGTGGAGGTTACCACCATCTCTCTAAGGCTCTGGTCATCACCCCTGGGCCAGAGGGTGCCCGGCATTTCTGGGGGCCAGCCGTTTACTGCAGCCCCCATCTGACCCCCCTGACAACACCTATGCGCTCAGCCTTACCGCAGCTCCCAACTCTGCTTTCCTGCTGCACGGGCCAGTCTGCACTACTAACAGGGAGCTGGTTGTGCCTCAGTCTAAGCCACATTTGCGGTGAAGCCAGAGTGGGGGGCATGAATGCGGCACAAATGCTTATAAGTCAAGACACAAGGGTAATGCAATGATGCAAGGGTGGTAAACACCCTGGATTCCCGGGGATGCGCCCTTAGAAGAGGGCAAAGCCAGGCAGGTGCTCCCAGGGCTTGTGTGGCTCGATCCAGAGTGGGAATTTCCTGGATGTGCAGGATCGGACCCCTCAAGCACCTGCCCAGGGCAGCTGGAGAGTGCAGGCAGCTTTTGTCTGCCCAGGCTCTCCTGCTATAAAGCAAACAGATGTCTGCCACTAATGAGCCGCACATCATCACCTCTGCGCCAACCACAAATCTGGGGCATTTGTGGCGCAATAAGGGGCACAGACATCTGTGTGCTCAGCCTCGGTGATGCTGTAAAAGTGTTTATGGTGGAAAAGAGATGAAAGGTGACTTGTTTCCACCCTAAGTGACTTACAAGCACAAGTCTCCTTTCATCATTTTTTAAAGCAAAGCTTAAGTTCCTCAATCACTTGGACACTGTGAAAGTTTAACTCTGTGTTTACCAACACTGATGCAGTCCCAACAGCAGGGACACGCAGGTCTCCGGCTGTAGCTGCCGGATAGCCACCATGGTCTGAGAGACAGTACGCTGTAGGCATGTGCATCACCAAACCACACACAAATGCACCCTAGAGACCCAGGGATATTACTGCAATAGTTGGAGCATGAGAGACGGACACAGGAGCCCTGCACCAGCCCCTTACTGTAACAGCAGCCTTGCAGATACGCACACAACTCCTAGTCCAGGTGAACAAACAGTTCATGACCTGGTAAACCCCAGCACTTATCTTCAGCTGCATAACTCTCCCTGCTTGCAGTTTCCTGCAGAAGGGCAAGATGCCAAGGCTGTGACCTTTCAGACAGGAGCTGTTTGCTGAGGTGTGCGTTTGCTCCCCACATTGGCTTCCCCCGCCCTCCCTGGCTCAAAGCAGTGCCTTGCACATCAGCCACGTTCCAGCTGGCTCAGCAAACAGAGGCTCAGCGTTGCCGTGAGATGGTCAGCAAGGGTGCTTTGTATTGCAGTGGCTGGTAAAGCTGCAGCACCTGGCCCCGGTGGGGATGGGGCTGAGCACCCCTGGCCCAGACACTGCCCTCCAAAGCCACAGGAAAAGCATCCAGACAGAAGCAGGCAATGAGGCTGCTCCAGCCTGTGCAGACACTGCCTCTAACTTCTGGGTCCGGTGTGCAAGCTCAGGTGGGTGGGCTGGGGGGGAGCAGGCTCAGCCCCATCCTCATTGGCACTGGCTGGTGCAATGGTGTAGACGAGCCCATGGGGTAAGTGGAAGGAAATCAATGTCAATGCCAGGATCCCCACCTCCAGTGGGGAGAATATGCCCATTTGAACAACCCACCTTAAAACTGTCCCGGCCGGGGTGGCCGTGCTCACTTTCGCTGGCTTCTGTCTGTAAAGCCCCATGCCTACCTGGGCCAAACTGCAGTGCAACTCTACCTCCCAAGGGTGTGGAGAGGCTTCGTTCATTAGCATATACAAAATACATTGTGTTCTCAGGTGACGCAGAATGGGACGCTCTATTCCTTGCAATAATAAGATCAGCCAGTTAATTTGTCCTCCTCCCTGCCCCACACAGCATCCAATTTCACAGTCAATAATAGCCAGTTTGTCTTCCTTCTCTGACCCCTGTTCTGATTTATGCTTGCCCTGACATGCAGACACAGTGGTTAGGACTGCCTGGCTTCACGCTGGTTCCTGTTTCACGTTGGACAAGTATGCAAGCCCAGTCGGATGAAGACACCACGACTCCTTCAGAGAGCGCTTCTCAGTGCAAATGCAGAAGGAAAGGTCCTGTTTCTGCAAAATCTGCCAGCCCCACACTGTGCTGGACATGATGCAGACATAAAGATGTAATCCCTGCCCTGAGGGTCTGATAGGCAAGCCATGAAACCAAGACCAGGGGGAGCAGGCAGGTGAGATGGGAACAAAAGCGACAGCTAAGGAATGGCGTATCTGCTGCAGTGGATTGGCACAAACCTTGCTGGACATCTGCTCTTTCCTCCCAACAGCAGCAGACAGAGGGAAGAACATGACTGAACCACCTGCATATTTTGAAAGGAAGCTGACCTCCCTCCAATGACTCGAAAACCATTTTCCTCAACACCGCCAGGAGTGCAGGGAGCCCTTGAAAAGGATCCAGCTTCCTAACTCTGGGAGGCTTCAAGCCCTGCGGTCATTGGAAATATTGCCCAAATACAAAATTTAGCTCTCTGAGTCTACTGTAAGTGCATAAGGCAAGAGAAGAAGTGTCTGCACTACACTCAAACTGAGGAGGCCAAAAAGAAAGCAGCCCCATAGGCTGCCACATAAAAATCCACAACACCAGTATCTGGAAAAAAAAACAAGTCCCAAAGACCACTGTATAAAGAGACTATATCTTTAAGAAATAGAGAGAGTACACTTAAATAAAGAGACTTAATCTGCCACCCAGGTTCAGCATTGTACCCAAGACGATCTCTCGACTAGGATGCACACACTCTCCCTTACAGGCAGGACCCCGGCAGCTTTGGAAATATTAGAGTTCCTCTGTGACAGCTGTAGCCGGTTGATCCAATCTACTGCTAACATCCTAGAAAAGACTCTTAGCTTTTCCCTCTCAACTTCATACAGGCTGCAGACAGGTAAGAGGACACGTGAGAAGCATTTTTGCTCCTAACAAATGTCCAGCTTCATAGCCGCTGTCTGGGCTTAAAGGGAGAACTGAAAAGTCTCACGACTGGCAGAAATGGATTTTGCTTTCTGCAAGCCTGTCCAAAGGGGCAGATATAGCGAGGAACCCAAAAGCTGCTGAACTACAAAGGCTACTGGTAGTCAATCCACAACCCGCACCTACCTCGTTCTCCATGTACGAACCCGGCTACGATGAGCAGCGCAAAACACGCTGCTGCAGCCACTTCTCTACTTCGTTCCCCCCCAACCGTGTGGCTAGTGACTGTGCCGTAACGGGCTGTCAGAGGGCTGTCGCATCACCCTGCGGGCCCAGGCGCAACTGTCATTTCACTCTTCGCCAAAAGTATGAGCAGGAAGTGGATTAACCACAGTTTCCTTCTGCAAAACGCACTCGTACAGAAAAAGAGCAAAAAATAAAGCTGTTGATGAGAACAAAAATCTTTAAGGGAAGAACTATGGTGAACATTTCACAGCAACATCTTCAGCTTTGCCACCCACCAGCGAAGGACAGCACCTTTCCCTCTGCCCCTAAGTCGAGAGAAGTCAGCTACATGGCTCTTGCTAGCAGTCCCTAGTTTGATAGCAGTCCCTAGATAGATAGGCAAAGCAGGGTGGATGGAAATACCCTCACACCTGAGGCCTTTTAACACCACTTCCCCCCTGCATGTATCAGCTGTACTACAACTTCACACTTTAAGGTACTACTAAGATTATTCACCACAACAGCTGTGAAGTTCTGCCCTAGCCTAATTTATCAGCCTTGGTCTATAGGACCCTTCTCTACATTACAAAAAAACCCAACCTGATAGTCCTTGAAAAACAGGTCAGGCCCCAAAGGACAGGAGCATTCATAAGCTTTTGCAAACCGTGGAACGGGGACTCGGATGTGATGCAAATTAGCCGTGTGCAATTTCACATACAGAGAAACGAATTGAAAACGTGAATGCTGCTATCCCCTAATGCAAGTTGCTCATTAAACCAGGGCAGGTGAGAGCTCCTTTGAGATTTGTTTGGGCAGCACATACCCTTGAGGGCTTATGCCCACCTGCCTGACCATGGGCCACTGGTCATCTTGCACTTATCAGGAGCAGGCACCATACCTACAGGTTAGGGAACACCAGTCTTGCCAGCACAGAGGCGGAAAAGGATCTTGGAGTCATCATTGACTCCAAGATGAACATGGGCCGGCAGTGTGGGGAGGCAGTTAGGAAGGCCAACTGTACCTTGTCATGCATCCACAGATGCATTTCAAGCAGGTCAAAAGAGGTGATCCTCCCCCTCTATGCGGCACTGGTCAG